TACATAGCGAATATAGCAGACATGCCAACAAACATATATGGATATATGTCACCAAGCAACGGACTGTCAACAAACACTCATATTATATATAATATAATATAAGGAGAATACACATTATTAAAGGAGACAAGTCCATACAAGTGAAGTGGTCACAGACTAACCGAGCAAACAGAAAGAGAGACCAACATGCACACACACACATAAATATATATATGTGGATACATATCACTTATCCAGTAGTAAGACTGGTAAAGAGGTAAGGTTGGGTATGAGGCTGGCTAGCAACCCCATTTTGAAAAAATAAACTCTACTACAGAAACTTAAAGCCCCCAGCTTGAAGGTGCCCTATGTTCCACTGGGAACGTGAAGGAAAAAAAAGAGTGATAATAAACTAAGGATGCTGAGAATAATAATAGTAAACTTACGTAATAGTGAGAATGTTACTCTGACCACGGTAGGGCGAATGGGATGTACGTAGTGCCATTGAATGTAGAGGTTTGGTTTCAGATCCCGAATAGCCAATGATTCATCTATGTACAGATTGTGTATTCGAAGTCCTTTCATACGATATTGAGGAACTCTATGTAACACTGTGAAGCATTTATGTATATATGTGTGTGTGTGGCGGGGTGTTTGTTGGATGTCCAGTGTTGTTGACAAGGTGTTCTGTTCGAGGATGGAGCTGCTACTGTTCTTCTTTTTCCTCTGGCTAGATAACTAGGCTGGATAGTGTTCCAGAATACGTTTGTTAACTTGACGTTGCGTACCACCAACCAATACACTTTGCTCTATACAAGCAGGTAAACAGATAAATACACACCATTAAGGTGGCCAAAAGCGGTTATCTTATCCTTAAGGTTAAACTGGATTAGTTGTGTGCTGTAGAATGTGAAGCGTAAGGTGGCCGCTTGAAATGTCTTCTTCAGACATTTAGAAAGGCGTTTTCTAAGAGTATAGCCAGCTAAAGGAAACTGTTGAGAACAGAGTGTAACGGTGATGTACTGTGGAAGCACTACGTTCCGTTCAGCACCCAAGTGGATAAATTATGATAATAATAATAATACCGGAAACCAAAATAACTTTGGCTGTAAACCGGTGAATCAAATTCCTACAAACCATCTCTCATGAAGATTTCATAACTGTTAGTCATGAATCTGTATTCATACTACTTTTCAATAGTAATAGTAATCTATCGCAGTTCGAGTTCAATTCCCACTGACTCAGTCACTTTGTCGACTGGCCTGGAGAAGAAGCAGGGTTGAGTGTGAAGCTGGCAAACCCCCCCCCCCCCCACCCTCCAGGAGAGAGAAAAAACAAATTGACACCACGACTATTGAAAACTTTAACACTTGAAGCCTTGTGTTCTTTTTAAAAAAATTATTTTCGGAATGCAAGGAATGTGTTAATGCTGCTTACATTAAATGTATTTTTTTTTACGAAATTCCCCATTCTGGAACACTGTAATACCACACATCAAAAATTCTGACTAACCAGATAAAGGCTAAAGTTTATTTGTAAACATCAAAATAACATTTATCACTTTTTAGTGATAGTTCATGCTTGTGTCTGTAATGTGATCGTTTTGCCTTAGTTCTTCCTCTTCGTTAAAACAGCACGCTGGTGTTGTTGTTGCCTAGTAAAGTAGGTCACTCTCTGTGTGGTATGGTATGAAGGGAGGAGGGGGAGGAGGAGAGGGAGAATGTACATCGATTTGATGATGTGTATACAACACATAAATTTCAAGTGTACACTATGGCTGAATACATTCATTACAATTTTTATTTGGGTTATATTTTCTCCCTCATAAAGTCATTTTCTTTTGATGATAGTATTGACTGTTTTCCCTCTCCGTATAAAACTTGAAAGACTTTAGCTCCGCAATTATGAATCATTTGTTTTTCTTCATTTTACGGCTTTTATGCGTAAGGAATGTGAACAGTACACATAGCCCCTTATCAAACATAACCTTTATGCCTTCCTAGACTATACATCTGCCTTTGACTCGGTCCCTAGGGACATCTTATTAAATAAACTTGCTGCTAGTCAAACAGAATGTTGGGCTGTGTTTAACTGGTTACATTCCTATTTCTCAGAAAGAAAGCAGTACACCGTATATAAAGGGAAGTCTCCCATTTCATTGCCTACTGAAGCTGGTATCCCTCAAGATGCTGTCCTTTCTCCTTTCCTTTTTTCCTTCTTCTTGCATGACTTGCCTCACTCTGATGAAATAAACTTTATGAAGTACGCTGATGATTTAACGGTTTCAATGGCTGTTAACTCCCAGCTAGATTGTACTAAAATAAATAGCTTTCTATCGGAAGTCAGTAAATGGTCTGTGTCTAACGGTCTTAAACAGAATCCTTCTAAATGTCAAACTGTTGATTTCAGCTTAAGATGTAAAAGACAGTTAAAAGAAGTCATCGATTCTCATGACAGTTGTAAGGTTGACGACAGTGATATAGGAATCAAATCAAAAATGAAGTATCTTGGACTTATTCTCTTTTCTGATCTCTTCTGGGCTTCCCATGTCTTAGCAATCTCCAGTAAAATATTTTGCCTGACATTTTGCATAAAGAGGTTAAGACACTCGGGTATAACTCAATCCCTCCTCTTACCGTTCAGAAACTCTTGCATCCTACCTATTTTTCTTTTTTGTCCACCCTTATTCTATCCTGGTTCGCTGGTTAAAAAGGACTATGTCACAATTCGTAGAATACTGAAGACGGTGAGTGGTGGTGTCCCAGTGGACCACATAGTTAATGTTGTTATCGATAGGCACTTGACTTCGTGCAATAAATTTGCTAGAGGGATTTTGTCTGACTTAGAGCATCCAATTTACCCTCAACTTTCACCTTGCATCTCCTCAGGTAGAAAAAGTAACTTCAGAAAACTGTGTGCTCCCTCGTCCAAGTATAAAAATTCTATGATACCATACTTGGCACGTATTTTATGTGATAGTGAAAATAGCGTCAGGCAAGAATTAACTAACTAACCTTTCTCCCTCATCAAGTAAATAAACAATTTCCTCCATCCATCCATCCTTAGATACCTTCAACTTTTACATTTATTATTTCTGTTATATTTATCGTCCTGTTACTTCGCTGTTTTACTCTCATAATTGCAAACACCAACTTATCTCCATGACTGCTGTAATCTTTGTTTTTCCACTCACCATCATCATCATGTAAAGAGAACATTATATTCAATATTTTTAAACGTGCTAGGATTTCTATACCGCATTGACAATACTGTGTGAAACAAGCCCACAGGAATTTTCTCTTGTATTATTATTGTTACCTTAGCTGTTACCATTATTATTGTTATTTCCACTTTATATGCTGCATGTTTTCGACATTGCCCAACCCCTATTGTAAATGTGCAAGATTTTCTGTGTGATTAATTTTTATTTATAATTTGAGGAAATTAGATGCAATATTGTGATTAATGCTGAAAATTCCATTCTGTATCACAAGTACTGCTTTTGGAATAAAGTAAATCATTATTATTATTATTATTTTTGATTGCACACTAGTCAGTAACTAGTGTAATGTATCTAGTCCTATCTTCGCTGCAGACTGAATTCTATCAGTCAAGCTTGCAATGTGGTCACCATGCTAGGTGGCTCACCATCACAGTGCACGTTGATTTGATAGTATTAGATAGTTGGAGGCAATCGGCCACAAGAAGTCTCACCTGACCTAGGTTTCGTGCTATTTGGCACTCACCAGTTGGTCAGCAAGGAGTATCTACAACCTTGAAGTAACTCATGTCCCTGCTTCTGAGATTCTAACCCGCGTCACCCAGTGCTGCAGTTACAGACGTTACCACTGACCTATTCAGACTGGAGATTAACCTTCTGTAGGACTGTAGCACTGGGTGACGTGGGTTCGAATCTCAGAAGCAGGGACATGAGTTCCTTCAAGGTTGTAGATGCACCTTGCTGATGGGTGCCAAATAGCACGAAACCTAGGTCAGACAAGGCTTCCTGGTGCCGATTGCCTCCAACCATCTAATAATAACTTTTATTTTCTACTATCATTATTATATGAAAGTAGTCTGCCAGATTTGTGTTAAATATTTGTGACTTTAATTTAAGAGGACTTGAAGGTTTTCTTCTCCTCGAGCGATTCTTTCTTCTATCATAACCCCATACATGTTATCAATAACACAGGCCAAATTACACCATCTCTGGCTTAGTAGACGTCCTGGTTACAGGTTTCATATAATACTTCTAATATTTTAGTGTTGGTTTGCAGGGAATTGATTGACTAGTTACAGGATTTCATCGGTTAACGAACCATTGGGAAACCAGTCACAGGGAGTATTACACAACTGTCTCGTCTTAGTTTGGGCTCATCGTCAGTACGCAGCCACCGAAGTTCGAAACCACCACCTTCCGGTTACAAGGCTAACCAGCTTGTAGACCACTAAGTCACTGGTACCCTACCTAATATCCAGCCGGTAAATTCCGAATTCACGTTATAGTGCAACTGGTGCTATGCAGTGTCATCACTGGGGAGTACTTTTCATCACACCCGATGACTCGCTGTACTCCACTACTGGTTACGACTTTTCACTAGAATCCAGGTAACTACCTACTTGCCTGAATAGGGCCAGTCGCTAGTGACTATTCGATTGATATTCATGTGTTGGTTTGCAGGGATTTGAATGTTTACAGGATTTCATCATGAGTTGGGCCATTGGATCGGGTTGAGTTCCAATGGCTGATGAATGGTCTACGAGATCGCTAGCCTTGTAACCGGGAGGTGGTAAGTTCGAACCCTGGTGGGTACGTGCCGTGACGAGTTCTCTAACAGGACGAAACAGCTGACTGTTCAGTACTCCTGACTGGTTTACCCATGGTCTCCTAACTGATTTCAGCTCCTGTAACTTCTAATATTTGTCTTTTCTGCATGACGTATCCTTTTTGGTATTATATTTTTTAAATTTCTGATTGTCCCTTTCCTTCTCACTTCCTTCCTGAAACTGCTGAACATCAGAACTGTCGTATTTTCCAAAAGAAATGTCAACTCGACTAAGAGCGTACAAAAATGCTATTGCAACAAAAAGTCATTCTGTTGTAAATCTTGCCACACTAGACAAATCTGAAGCAAACAGTCAAAAGAACAAGGGTTCTTGTTCTTCTTCCTCATCATCAGCAGTAGCAGTTGGCGGCAGTGTAAAATCTGGACGAATGCGTATTCAAAATTCCAACACCTCTTCCCACGATACGCTTATCCCTCCACGATTTTCCCTACAATTACCAAAAGGTAGTAGTCGTAAAACTCAAAGAGCATCACTGAGTAGTGGTGTTAACTTCAGTCGTAATGATGTTCTCCGGTCAAGTTCTGGTAATCCATATCATCCGAAGATAATGACTTCATCAGTTAGTGAAAATCGGCCGATCCATGTTGGAAGACGTCAATCTCAAGGTTCCATTGTAACTGAGAATTCCAAGAATAATCCTTTACGTGAATCACAACCGTATCATTCATCGCATTCCACTAATCTTCGATCTTCGAATAGTCATAATCATAACAGTAATGTGATGGATAATAGTCGGGAAAATACTCTGCGTAAATCATCCCTTTCACGATCGAATCATACTATTCAGAATACTGAAGTATCTGTAAAGTCAAGTAAATAAACTGAGGTAAGTATACTCAGTATAGTCACTTTAATTCACTAGTAGGATTTTGTGTTATTTGCGACGTATTACATTATTAGACAACATGACTAATCAATGTTTAGATAGTGGTTGTGTTAATCTATGTAGTGGGATAATCATTCTGGATCTCAGCTTTATTTGCTTTCGGAAGTGTGTGTGTGTGTGTGTGTGTGTGTGTGTGGGGCGATTCTTACTTCACGGCTGCTCCCATTGTGGAAGTTGATTTCTTCTTGCGTGACCACACAGCCCATGGGACGACTGTTTGTTTGAGGTGTGGTCAGTCACACACACAGCCTACCTTGATAGGTTTTCGGCATCGCCTTCTTATTAGGATGTTACCGTCGCGGCAAGGTAAGTCAAGGTGTGCGATTTCCGGGGTCGAATTTTAATAACCTCCCCCTCCCCATAGGAGACAAGTGCCATAGCTGGCATACTGGGCATCTGAAGGAAATACCTTACTGTTGGTACATTCCTATTCCTCAGCAGTACGACTTCGTCTAGGCTATGATGACAGCCGTCTTTAGTCTAATCTGTATCCGGACAACCTTTCTGTCATGGTAGGACTTATAAGAACATCAGTTCCTGCTGCACCACCACCAACGGTGACTGAGAACCAAAGAGTAATTGAGAGCTGTTTCGCCCCAGTTTGGATTTTTTCAGCAGTCGGTACCCATTGGATTTCACATTTATGACCTTACGGTTACAAAGTGAGCTTGTAGACCATTCAACCAGTAGGATTGTGGGTAGCCAAGTCCCTAGCATATTTCGGATATATATCTTGCACACAGAAGATAATTCTGACTGACTGATTACAAGATGGAATTTCCTGAAGTCCTAGTAGAGGAACCCGTAACCAGTGGGGTTCACTAAGTTGCATGCTGTGAGGAAACATACTCATCGATGACTTCGGCTACGGGCCGACAACTGCTACCTTTTCGTGTTGGTCGGGTCTGAACACCACAAGCTAAACTGACTTGAACTCATGTTCCTGCAGGTTCTACTATGTCAGGAAGGTTGTTTTTATAGCGGTTAGACTAAAAATAGTAACCGTAGGATACATAGCGTATGAGTCTTTATTGGTCACTGGCAAACATGTGAACGTAGCTCCTGGCGTCGCTTCGCTGCCTTGCGGATTAGACTCCAATTCAAATGCTTTGAGTGAGGTGATCCCTTAAGACAACCACCTGTCTTGGTCTGGGCTCCAGGACAGTATCTTAGCCCTCACACAATCAATGCATTGTTTTGTGGTACATCTTCTTGGTCCCATATTGTACCAAGTATATTGTGTCTAAATAATAATAAATAAATACCTGCTGCACTGTATATCTTGAAATATTTAGCAGAAATTATAACTGATGTGTCATTCATTGGATTCCATCCCATTGGTTCAGTGGTGCACGAGCTGAAGATCTTGAGTTCGATCTCTGATGAAGTCATGCGTACTTATTGCCGTAGAGCCTCAAAGTAGTACGTAACATGCTTATCCAGTACTCCTTTTTGTTGGCTCTTTCACTACTTACTCTAACTGTAGTCAGTCCGTGATCAATGTTGAAGGTCATTAGGTTTTTTTGAAGTCCAAGTTTATAAATTAAAATTTATTTATTTATTTTATTTTCGATTACAGCTTGATTCCACACTGTATTTTTGGTACAAGTATGGAATTTTCAGCATGTGATATCGGTAGCTCAAATTTAGCGGACCAACCATAGATATCAGGTGTCCGTCGGCAGGGGATTGAACCTCGAACCATGTGCGTGGTCGATGAGAGTCCTAACCACTGTGCCACCGAGTGTTTATTTTTCATAAGATGCTTCATCAAGGATTTTTAATTTTCCGCTTTTTTATTTATCTTTTTAAAAAAATCAATATTTAGGATTTAAAAAACACTTCATCGGTGTTTACAACCCCCCCATTTTCGGGAATTCAACGGTGTCATCTTCACTGGAAAAAAACAAACAAAACAGGTTGGTGAATCTTGTACAGAAAAACACAAACATACAATAGAGCGTCCAAGTTATTATCGCCATTTTAACTTTAATGAGTAGTACTCTTACCCCTACTCCTACTATTACTATTGTAAATCACTTGAATATTATAACCGAATTGTTCTGCCCTCCTCCTTCGTCATCGTCGTTGTGATCACTATCGTCACCAAAGGCGTGTTTCATTGATAAAACCACTGCCTGTAATTCGTGTGTGTGTATGTATGTATGTATGTGCAAGCATTGGATCCAACGCATTTAACGCCATACACACACACTCTCTCTCTCACATGTCTTCAATATTTCTCATGTATTGTTGAAACCTTCCCCTTTCCCCCTCCTCACTCTCTCTCCCTCTTTCACTCTCGTATTTCTGTTGTCACCATCTCCGTCACTGTTTGATTTGCCATCTTTTGTCTTCAGTAATCTAATAGTGTACATAATCCTACTTAGTGTATGAATACTGCTTCGTACGCCTTCTCTATACATCTTTTGTTGCCAATACTACTTATAATGATAACAGTAGTAGTAGTAGTAGGTGTTGTTGTTTTTCTAGTATGACAGTATTCTGCTCAACTAATAATCATATACAAAAGTGATAATAGTATACCGGATTTTGTCATCATTTTTGTCATTTCTTACTTTTTCCTCTTAATTTCTGTTCATTTTTTGTCTCAATGATTTATTTCATTTTACACTGATAATTTGTTGATTAATTAATTCACTGAATTATCGAAATTCTTGGAACCGGTGTGTGTGTGTGTTTGCGTGAGCGAGCGCGTGCGCCTTTACGTTTGAATTGGCGCGTTTCTCTCTGTTTTTTTTAAAATTTTTATTTTTATTGTTTTGCTTTCACCTTGACAACAAAAAGAAAATATCGATCTGTGATAGTGACATGAAGTATGCCCATACTCTATCAAAGCCCTATTATTATTGTTATTATTATTACTAAGGAGTGATACATACTACTGTTTATAGTAATAGTAATATAACTAGTTGTATATCAGTAGCAGTTGTGATGTTTATGCAAATCTCATTTCTATCTTGTGTGTGTAAGCGTGTTGCTCTATGGTGTGGTGTAGGTGTGTATAACCATCAAAATGTGATGTATCTTTTCTGTTGAACAACTCTAACTGCATTTTATTACTTTTTTGTTCGAACCCGCCAAGCCCACCAACACAGCTCCGACATTTGTATCTTTCAATGTTCAATTCTGCTGAATCTTTTTTTGTTTTTTGTTTTCTCTTCTAATGTTTTCGTAATAATTTGTTGTTTTCTTTTTCACCTATGTATGCGTCGATAATATTTTTAATTTTTATTTTTTTGGGAGTTTTTCTGCCCGCCTTTTTTTGTTTTGATTTGATTTTTTTTGACTATTTCGATCTCTTCTATTGATGACAACGCCTTTGCTTTCGTGTTTTTGTCCATCCCACACCATGCCATGCCATGCTGTGCCAGGCTATGGACACCTTCATGCATTCAAGTTGTGTGATCTGTTAATCGATCTGTTAATTATTTTCATCACTATTATGGTTATTAACCGACGTGTGATGCTTAATCGAATTTTAATTTCTGACTTGTATTCATGACTTGATATTCTGTGAAGGGAACAAAGCTTCAGTCTCCTTTTTTTCTTGGTTTTCCCACTGCTGTATAAAATAATAGTGATGAAATAATATGACGTAATGAGATCAGAAGGGATTCTTCTACCTACCAAAAATGGATATATACATATGTATGTGTCTGGTTTTTCGCTCTCTCTACTTTCTTTGTAATTTATATTTAATTCCTCTTCCTGATCTGGATCGAGAAAACAATAAATAAAAAGGTTATTGAAGGATCGGTGATTATTTTCAGGTATTGATTTTCTAGGGATTGTGTTTGATTGGTTGGAAGGTTTCATCATGAGTTGATATCAGGTAGAGAATCATTGGAAAACTCGGGATTCCTGTCACATGTTTCGTCCTAGTTTGGGGCTCTTCATCAGTAATCATCCACCGCCAACAGGGATCGAACCCAGAACCTTCCGGTTACGAAGCTAGTGAGCTTGTAAACCATTAAGCCACCGGAACCCGTGCCGATCCAGTGGCCAGCCCAACCAAACACCTTACATTCATCCATCCATTTGCAAGTTAACAACATCAACACACATAACACGCACAGAACGCACACGAACACAACACTCTCACACTACAAACACTGCACCATCTCATCACAAACCAACGCACACTCCAACATCAACGAACTCACTAGCATATACAGCACACAAACAACAGTAATCACAAACCCAACCACACAGTATATACTACTCACAAATATCACTCATCAGTAGACGCCTCACACCAAGACAACATACAGTAAACTTGTCTCGTGCATTCTTTACAGAACAAACATGCACACCTCGTCCTCTGAAATACACCGAAACACTGGTCACCATCACCAAGATGTGCAGAGAACACCTGATGAGTCGCAAAAGGACACCAAATGGGTGCAGTCAGACAACAGACTGTTGCATACAGAGGACATGCAAATTAGATCAAGGACTGACTACACGGGTAAATCATTCTCCTACAGGAAGCACATCAGCGGTTCCGATGGAATCGCCCGCCAGTAAACTGATTGATGACTGGTGGACAGGTGAACTAGGTAGTACGACGACCAGCCTAGAAGACAAAGTCAATCTCATGGACACATCAGTCGACTGGGTGGGTACTCGTGAGACTCTCCACCTGTGGGGTTAACGAAAGTCACACGAGCCACCAGTAGACATAGATATACAAAGATGGGCAGTGAGACGCAGAGACACTGGAGATACACAGTGACGAGGCAGGTGATGACAGCAGATTAGTCGAGGCTTGGTAGACGTGGAGAATTTGAGAGTGAAGTCAGTTGGATAGTGAGTGAGTGGGTGACTGGCTGAGTCGACGAGGAAGCCGATGCAAAGCGTGTTTCGGTGTTGTTTGTGTGTGTGTGTGTGTGTAGTAAGTAAGTGATTGACTCGAGGGTGAGTGAATCGTGAATTGAATGGACGAATGATTGACTGACTGTGTGGGTGATGAGGCGATCTGGGTGTCTGGTGGTGAGAGGATAGAAGAGAGTCAGCAGCAGCGATCGAGGCGAATTCCACTGACTGAGTTACTCCTTCCTTGCTTCTCCTCCTTGTTGTAGGGGAGAGGGAGGGAGTGTAGACTGATTGACTGACTGACTTTATTGGATTGTTATTAGCCCCGTGAGGAGCTGCCAAATAATGCTTCGATTCTTAGTCGACGGTTCTTACCATGCAATAAATCACAAGAGTAAAACCGTGACGGTTGGTCTGAATTCCGCCAATTCATGACATAGAGCGGCTACTTCGCAATGTCTTCTTCGATGAGTTACTGCATCCCCTTCAACCTGCTGTGATCTACTGGTCATGGCTTCCCACTAGAACCAGCTCAGGTTAACTGCTTGAATAGGGCCAGTCGCCATTGATGATTTCTAGTGTGTGTGTGTGTGTGTGGGTTAGTGTGTTATTTGTTGTTTCATGAAAAATTTCTATTCGAACATTAATAGATAGAAGAGGGGTAGTTCAGCGAAGAGTCTCTTTTCGGCGAATTCATACAATTAGTAAGTTTAGACGAGTTGGATGTTGATATAAGAGGGTAGTAAGAAAAGTGATGAGTTGTCACAAACGATTGTTAAAGAAGAGTTACGTAATAATAACGTGAATAGTTTGATGAAACAGTTGTGCTCAGGGTGTACATGGAAACGAAATATCATACGGAATTACGCAAGTGTTTTAAGTAGTTAGAAAAATAAACATACAAACAAAAATTAAGTTAAATGAACGGAGTTGTTACCATGATAATAGAAGTGGTTGAATAATTTTCTTTTGTATGCATAGTTCTGATTCTTCTAACTGAATGGCTAGGGCTTCTGCAATGCGAAGAAGACGGAAATGTATTGCCTATGGCAGGTTGTTCTTCACTTTGTAGATTACTTTGAAGAAGGAGGCGTTAGTTGAGATGGAATGACCAGTGTTGACGAGATGTTCGATTATTGCACTCCTTATACGGCCACAACTTCCTTTTTGCAGTCATGCTGGATAGTGTTCTTTGACCGTTTTTAAGAGGATGTGCGTTGAACGAACGATGTACCTGGCTCCACAGCAACAGGTGAACTGATATATACACATAGAAGTGGTTATGTGCGGAATCTTGTCCTTTGGGTTTCTGCAGATCAGCAGGCAACTGGATAACACTACTCTCATTGCTGCCTCAAAGAAAGCTCCTCGTGAAAAAGTTGAAATTCTCCTACTAAGGACATCACTGAGTAGGTCACCTTTGAAGTCGAGGTACAAATAAAGTATCTTTTTTTGGCATGGTTAGCGCCTATTGTTTTTGGATTTTTTTTTATTTTTCTGTCTACGAATCTTGATGGATAACCGTTTTGTATGAAGATTTCTTTCAGGAAGTTTAATTCTTCCAGTGTATCAGAGCTTCAGATGTGTCCGACGCGAGTGGCAAGAGATCTAATTAGGTTTTCGACTGATTGGTCCCTAGCTGTAGAAGCTTGTGAGTTTACCGTTCCATGTGAATTTCCTATGGATGGACCTTCTTAAAGTTCTGTCAGCTCTCCTTGTAAGTTCGACATCATGGAAAGGGATTTTAGATTCGTTTTCAATTTCAAGAGTGAACTTTGTAGCTGAGTGGCATTTGCTGAATATTTGTAGTAACTGACTGAGATTGTGACCGTCATCAGCGATAATAAAGATGTCGTCCACATGTAACAACAGAAGACAAGGGCCAGGCTTATTCAAGCAGACAAACACAGTCTTTTGATTGGTTGTTTCTCGTTCAAAGTTATTCTGTACTGCTTGTGACTGGTTTCTCAGAAGGGTAAGCCATATATCTGCGAATCGTATTTACCCACGTGAAGTCTGCTGTGATTGGTTGTTCAATCAGTCTTGTTCATATTTTCCCACGGCCAATATTAGCGACATAGACATTAGCGTAAATTAATGTCCACCAGTTAATTGGCTAGCAGCCTGCTCTCACCACACACATATCTAGCATACAAGTGGAAATTGCCACTAGTTAATTTGAGTGGGCCGTTCTCGAGGTCTGCTAGTAATGGGCCCAGTGGGAATCCCATCTTCTTGTCTGTAAGTAGCATCGTTAAATGTGAGTTGCAAATTGAGTGTACATCTCAGTAGTAGTTCTTTTAAATAAGTCGTCGGTAATCCGATGTTCAGCTGGTTTTCGTCTGTATATTGACAAATGTGACAAACAGTTTCTGTGAGTGGATCGTTGGTAAATAGTGACTCAGTGTCAAGAAGGAGCATATTTTTGTTCTTTACATTGATATCGTTAATATAGTCGACGAATTGGAGGGTGTCACAAAGCGAATAGTGGCACATCTGTTTTCGCACAGGTTCTAAAATGTCAGCAAGCCATTTCGGGGAACCTGACATATTCAAAATTGGACGCATTGGGAGGTTGGCTTTATGTATCTTTCTTTGGTAAGCCGTATAGTCTTACTACTATTGATCCTGTCGGTCGGATCTGATCATCGATTTCATGACTGATTAACTTTGCAGTTTGCATTCTTTTAAGGACATGAGCTGTTCTTCGATCCGTCCTGTTTTCTTTCTTTCATTGGGTGGTTGCGAGAATTTCGTTTTATCTGACAATATATTGTCCGTAAGGACTGTGCCAGCTCCTTTATCTGGACGGGTTATTAAAGGCTCTTCGTTTTGTCTCAGTTGATTTAATTCTTCTCTATGTTGCCTTGTTAGGTGGTTATATACTTTTGGTTTTGTATTCAAATATTGATAACAACAATCGATTATTGTTGATTTAAAATCGCTGGTAGTTCATGTTCGGAGGTTGGAGTTAAATCATCATTTGTTTGGGTAATTAAGTTTTCGAATTGTACATGAGTATGGAGTCTTTTGGCATTTAGGTTGACGTCGGAAACATTTGAACCCATGGATAGGGTTTCTAACTACGAGTTGGATAAAAAAAACTACGGAAGTGTATGTAGCTAAATACGAATTTTGATGGGTCATCAGGAAACTGTGTGTGTGTGCTCCGTCCGATAGATTTGAGGCTTTATTTTTACGAGTTGGGATATAGTAGATTGTGATCATTTTTCATTGACCACTGAGCCACCAACTGACACGGCTGCATTGACATAATGTATTATTATTATTATTGTTACTGAATGATTTAGTTCGACCAACGGGAAGCTCTGAACCTAATTAATAATAAAATAGGTGAGCAACATTGAGGTTAGGCGTAGAGTTCTAGGTAAACAGGGGAAATCAATCGACGAAGTCGTGAAGTTACAAAGACTGAGATGGTTAGGACATGTGTTACGTATGCCTAGTCAGCCATCGCCTCCCTCGACGAGCAATGTTAGCGGATATAGGGTCAGGCTGGAAAAAAGCTAGCGGCGGTCAAACAAAAACATGGCACCAGTCAATGAAATCCACAACAGTTGGTCTTAGCCACGTAGGAAGGTGTAGACTTCCAGGCTGGGGTCCTCGGGACGGTAAAAATCTATGGTTGGAAACAATTGGTGACATGGCTCAAAATCGTTCTCAGTGGCTGGTGGAGATGCATCCACTCCTTGTGACTTATGATCTCCAATGAAACTGTTTTGTATTTCTTTATTACTCCTTTGTCTCACATCTCTGCTCACTGTTTCTATTATGCTTTTCTTGTACTTTCTTCTCTTGCTTCGCGTGCTACACGGAGTGTGGCGACTTGAAATTCCGCACATTTGTGCGAAGTTCTATGTCGAAAACAGACAGACAGGCAATAATAATAAGAAGAACAACAATAGGTGAGGTTAAAC